ATTTATATATATATATATATATATATATATTTATATACTAACTGAAGTATGATGTTTCAGCACTCAGAAGCATTAGCACATTCATTATAAAAATATGGAAATGTACAAATATATTAAAATGTGGATAAGAGTAGGGATTGGAGTAGTTTTGATGGCCATAATAGTTTTCCGGTGCTTAAAGCGGTGCTTAAGCAATAGTATCAATATCTTTTAACGAGCTGTGGGCAAATGGGTGAGCTGCTTGTCCGACATTTCCCTCGTAAGTTTTGTTTTTCGAAACATAAATTCAAAATTAAGCATATTCATTTTGTTTTACGATGTGATTATCATAATTTCCAAACTTAAAGCATTTTCAGTTGTTAAATTTGATCAAAGTTGACACCTTGTAAGAGTTATTACCACTGAACAGTTAAAATAATCTTTGTTTGATTAAGTGAAAAGAATTTAAGACCTTCACAACGTGTTCTAATTCATTTAATATGTTTTCAATTGATGTTCACCAAGCTTATTGAAAGAAGCTTCTCTTTAAATACTTACAAAATTGATCTGCGATAAATGAGCACTTGGCTTAGGATCATTTGAAGCTCAAGGTGAAACACTACTTGATGATAACGAAGATAGTTGCAATGGAGAAGAACGGTTCACTTCAAAAGAAGCGATTCGTGATAAGAACGATAAAATGAATAATGAACAAAACAATCGGAACCCTCAAACGACCACGACAAATCTTTCGCTTCAAAGTAATGCTCAAATCAAGCGGTCAGACTCTCTAACTGATCGTGAAACGTGGACATCCAAAGTGGATTTTCTTCTTTCGGTTGTTGGATTTGCTGTTGATTTGGCGAACGTTTGGCGATTTCCTTATTTGTGCTTCAAGAACGGAGGCGGTATTTCCATTTAACATTATATCCAAAATACAGTTTTTGAAATTTCATATTCATGATATCCACAAATGAGTGATGTTCAATCTGTATTGAGTATGTGTATTCGATTGTAGAATCTTTCAGCATTGTTCTATCACGCTGAATGAATATTTCGCAAGGAATTTGTGAATATTTGTAATTAATCCTTAAACAAAGAATCATTAGTTTTGAATGGTTTTTGATAAAATTCTGACTGAATCGTGATTATGCACGTACACTTATATGTGATATGCATCAGATCTTCTGTAGAAATCACTTCAGATTAGCAAACGGTAAACTAACTTGTGGAATGCATTCCACTTGAGATAATGTCACTTGAGAAACATTTAAGAATAGACAGGATTCGGAGGACTTCAGTGGAGTGAACAGCAGTCAATTCATTGTTACTGGAACGTTTCTGAAGGAACCAAATCTTCACTGAGTTGAAACGTTCATTTTTTGTGTCAGTCACTTATTTCAGGAGTGTTTCTGATACCATACACAATTATGGTATTTGTTGCTGGTATTCCACTTTTTTTCATGGAACTTTCCCTGGGACAGTATTATAAGAAAGGAGCGATTACGACTTGGGGGAGGATTTGTCCATTATTCAAAGGTGAATTTCATGGACTATCTTAATATATACATATTGATGTCCTATTCAGCTAATTCGATTTATGTTTCAATTTATGTCTTTTCAGTTTATGTTTCTTGATCTGTTTCAATTTATGCAACGTTGCAAGTTCCCACTGTGCCTAGTTCGGAAATATGTTTTTTGAAAGTAACCGAATAAATTTGTTCAGCAGTTGAATCTACTTCATGGAGAAGTCATAATCACGCTGATTGCCTGAACTTGAACGAGATTAGCTCTGATTTTGCTTAATCAAGAATCATTTCTCATTTAGCCTTACAATTTAATAAATTCTTAAATGAGTGTGATTCGTAAATTTTGATTAGACTGTTGAATAACTGAAAACTCAGTTCATAATAAGTCAATCGATAGAATATATTCTTTTAATCAGCTGCTTTATTTTATATAGATTTCATCAATAAACGGATTGAAAAATATAATATTTTGCCAACATGATCACGGTGAAGCAAAAAAATTTTGAAGGAAGAGTTTTAAAACTATGCATTTACGTATTAACATTAAATAATCGAACAAGGAATTTCTTCATAGCAAACACTTTTTTCGGAATCTGTCGACTCAATTTAATTTAGAAGATTCTATTTGAATGTGTATTTCGAATAGAAACTTTTAAATGAGAATAAAATGTTAATAAAATTGCAAAGGCATTGGCTATTGTGTGATATTAATCGCATTTTATACCGACTTCTTCTACAACGTGATCATCGCGTGGGCACTGCACTTCTTTTTCGCATCCTTCACAACGTCACTGCCATGGGCATCGTGTTCCAATGACTATAACAGTGCTGCTTGCTATGAACCCAGGTGTGTGCTTCCTTCATCAATTTCACTTTCACTCACAATTCTACTATAATGAAAATTAATCTATCCGGGGAACTATTCTTCAGTGCTTAGGCATATGTGCAATTCTTCAAGCTACATTGCAATAATAATGGCATTTTAAGCGGAAATAAAACCTATAAACAGAATAACATTAACAACGATACCATATTAGCAATAAGAGCAATGAAGATATTATCTGTTATTTACTCACTTAATCGGTAATCAGCACTCATTACGAGTTTATACCTCTCTTTTATCACAATCATCATCTTATCGCTTCCTTAACAATCTTTGTTGCACATAAATGGATGCAAATGTAGTGCTAATCTCTCATACATGATCTCTAGCTGCAATGATCTCTAGTTCGAAAGAAACTAAACAGTGCAATGCAGTAATGGTAACAGTAATAGCATAACCGTCTGAATGCACAAAAAGATTATTCTTATGAATCTGAACCTTGTTAATAAAATTTCGAATTTAGTTGGAACAAAAACGGTGACGATGGAGAATGTGTCACAACACTCAATGAACACGGTATTTCGGCTGCTGAAGAATATTTCTAGTGGGTGCTTGATTTGCTTTCCTTAGTTGTGTATTACATTTGATTAGTAATCAATTTCCATTCATTCCATTACATTTTAAACCAAACTGAGGAATCAGTAGCAAAAAGTGGTCAATTCTTCCTCAATATTAGCCTATTATTCTTACGGACAATTGTGTTCAACACTTTCTTAACAAATTTCTATCATAATCTGCGAGAGTGTCGTTTCATGCCAGAGTAATGATCTAATAAATCAACAAACTTTCAGTAAACATTTCCTCGGTCTTCATCATAAAGGTTCATCGAACTCCTCAGTGGCACGTTCGCTGACTGATTTAGGATCAGTCAATTGGTCAATTGCAACTTGTTTGCTTATCGTTTATCTGATTTGTTATTTCTCGTTGTGGAAAGGGATCAAAATGAGTGGCAAAGTTCGTTTAGAATCATTTTCAGCTCATCATTAATTCGTTTCATTTGTTGTATCACATTTCAAAACTCAAGTGAAAATCTCATGTCCATTCAACCGCTCATTCGTAAGAGATTTGCTTTCGAGAGATTTGCTTAGCTGATCTTAACTACTGACAAAATTTTGTCAAATTTTCTTCATTCCTATGAACGTTTTGTTTGCAAAAATCTTAAACTATTATTCACGTGAATTCTAACCGAATGCCGCCCTCAACACATAGTATCATTTGAAATAATATGCAAGCAAGCAATTATCATCAATGTGATTGCTCCGTTTGATGTGTCAGTTGAACATTTCAAGCATTCAGCCATTCAAAAACACTTATCTTTAAATGTTTCCTTTATGTTCAATATCGAATATGAAATCGATTCGTTCAAATTGTTTCTCGAATACTGAAACATATTACGGGTTAAGTAACGAATCGAGAACACAATTGTCATATGAATGTGTGATAATCGCCTCTTCAGGTGGTTTGGTTCACGGCTGTATTTCCGTACATTGTGCTCAGTGTGCTCTTCATTCGTGGCATAACTCTGCCGGGCGCTGAGAAGGGCATTCGGTACTATTTGAAACCCAATATTGAAATGCTCGCAGTGCCGAGTGTTTGGCAAGATGCTGCTACACAGGTTTTTATGTAACATCTCATAACAGGGTCAGTCAGACCAGGACGGATCGATTCACAGTTGAGAATGTCATATGATAGAACGTCTGTTGAGTCCACGATCAGCTCTCATGAAACATAATGCAGTTAACGAAGATAGATAGCCATACGAACTCATTCTTCAGCATCATTCGATCGCTTTATATCGCACTTACAGCCAAGAGAAGGAACTCTGAGCAGAACGTTTAGAATGACGATCACACTATCAATCCATTCGTGCAACAGCCTTTCATGATTTCAGGTGTTCTTCTCATTAGGTCCAGGATTTGGTGTACTCATGGCGTACTCATCGTATAACGAATTTCACAATAACGTCTACTTGTTAGTTTAATCTAATTGATGCTAATACGTTCACAAATGGTAAATACCGGTTTTGTTTTCATTGAATGCAGTTCGAAATCTTCCGGAACCACGGAGTTGAGCAAACAATTTTCAAACTGATTTGTATAGTCGTTGGATTTGACACATCATTTCCGTTGGTCAGACTACCATTTTTGTTAATTATCAGGTGAATAGAAGAGAACACGGGTGTGATTTAAACGTCGCACAACTACATGAGTATTCATAGAATTCATTCATGTAATTCACATTTACCGAGATTGAATATAATCCACTAGTTATCACCGTTAGTGGCACCATATTATCATCGATGAATTTCAGTGACGCAATTATAACAAGTACGATCAATTGTGCCACTAGTTTCCTATCTGGTTTTGTCATCTTCTCGGTAAGTAGATCGAATCTTCATTACAGATATCCCTTGAGATTCTTCTGGAAATGGACACTGTTGATGAATAGAGATTACGTATTCTGATCAATAAGTGTAAACGTAACCTTCGTAATTTCATTTCCAGTTGAAATAATGATGAAGAGAATGAATGTGAGATTGTTTATCTTCAGGTTTTGGGTTACATGTCATGTAAGAGTGGTAAAACAATCAATGCTGTTGCACAGGTTCACATTTCATGAAAGCAATTCGANTGTCAATGCTTTTTTGTTATTACTTTATTTGCAAGGAACAGTTCCAGTCGGATGCTGATGTGAACAGATTTCAGGAAGGTCCAGGACTGGTATTTGTTGTTTACCCGGAGGCATTAGCAACCATGCCGGGTGCATCTATATGGTCTGTAATATTCTTCTTGATGCTTCTCACACTTGGCTTGGATAGTTCGGTAAGACTAACCAGTCAACAACCACAATTTCTCACCCAATTAGTGCATAATGTACATCAGTTAAATATATTTCAAAACGATGTGTCCCACACAGTAATGTGGTGTGGGTATCGGGAATTTCGGGGACCCTGTGCCCTACTTTTTCGAATCGACCACATTTTCGGAGTCCCCGACCGGAAAATTTCGTCTCCGATTTTTCCCATCGCTGACTTTTTTCCTTACCTGCACCACGCTGCCACACAGCAGTGTTTCGATTTTTCATCTCAAAATTTGCCAATTCAACTTCAGCATTCTGTGCAATATGCTCTCGCAATCATTTGCGACATTCCTCCTTTCTCGTATCAACCCATTCGTACTGAAATATCTATTTTTCACTTAAAGAACACCTTCGATTGATCAACTTCAACAACGATCAATTCATTCGATTAATCAAACTTTCTTTTATTCAGTTTGGTGGCTCAGAAGCTATTATAACAGCTTTAAGTGATGAGTTCCCCATATTGAAACGACATCGTGAGGTTTTCGTTGCCCTTTTATTCACATTTTATATGTTCGTTGGATTATGGATGTGCACCAAGGTTCTTTTATATTTCAGTTGCATTCATACAAAGATATTTGTGAACGATATCAAGCAGGACTTGAATATCATAAGAAGTTTCAGGGCGGGATGCTAATTATGGAATGGATTATTGTGTACGGCACTTCATGGGGGTTGCTCATAGCAGTGTTCTGCGAAACGATCGTTATCTCATTCTTCTACGGTTTGTTAATTTTTTTTAATCACGGCAGAATTTCCGGCTTCGAAGTGCAATTGATCTTTGTCGGTATTGTGAGTTTCGAACGATTTGAAATCAAAACTTATATTTGAAGTTCAGTTGCATCATCAATATTATCGTTATTGGAATATGGCTTTTTCACTCAAACTGTATCCTTTTCGGTTCTCTTTACTGCACTTGTCCATGAAATTCTTGTTATGAATTTAATAGGAATCAACCAATTCGTGAGTGATTTAAAAGAAATGTTGGGATTTGAACCTGGCTGGTATTGGCGTATCTGTTGGACGATTGGAGCACCGCTCTTTCTGCTGGTATGATCTTCAATAAAGCGTTATCAATTTCATGGCTAACTAATATTCTGATAAGGATATTAGATCCCATCGAATGATATTATGCAAATTTCGGATGTATCAGATACTCGATCTAATTCACTTACTGTTTATTAACCATTGTACAACAAATGCTATTTTTGCATGGATCGTCCTCAGTGAATACAAAAGTATACCTATTCTTGTGCAAAGAATCTGTACTCAAATGATGAATAACACTAGCAAGCATCTGAGTGAATCACTGAAAAGAACAATCACAATTCAGGGAACAATCGTGAGCAGTTTCATAAACTACAAACCGTTGAAATATCAAGATTTTGTTTACCCTTTTATGGCTAACTTCATCGGTTTAATATTCGCGCTGTCGTCCGTTTCTGCAATACCAATCGTTGCTTGCTTCAAGTTATGCACGGCTCAGGGGAACACATTCAAAGAGGTCACTTTTCTTTTATTTCATTTTTATGCATCTACAAGCAAACTTCATATATCCTAGTCTTACCACCTTTATGGTCTTATTCGAATGGCTCGCCTGTTTCTTTCGAATTCATCTCGTAATTAAGAATAATTATTCGATTACCAATCCAATCAGATAGTCAGATCTGAGAAAACTTATCAGTGGATGCATGATCGCTAGATAGCAGTTCTATTCGAGGAAAATTCAAAAGTAAATAAAAGTTGCAAATGAAAGAATTTTAAAAATACCAAAAGACCCTTGTACAATGCAATCAACGTTCTGCTTCCAAAGATTTGTGATAAATATAAAGCTGCATAACATTGCAAAACATTCTTCATAACAGCTCCCATGACAAACAAAAATGTTCTGTTCATATTATAAAACTTGATTTCAATTGTTATTGGTAATTAATTGATATGTTTACTGAATTTTAAGAGAGTGCGAAATGTTCTTCAACCGTATCATCAACGAACAATACCACGCGAATATGAATCGATCGGCTCACATCCTAACGAAATCATCTTATGATTTACTCACCAATACTCTCCATTTAAGCTCTACCTTATAGTTAGAAATATGAATAGTTGAAGCGTCGTATCAAATAATCTTTATAATGTGATGGAACTCATTCTTAATCATAACTGATCTCAACATAAGTCGGAACTTTTCTCATAAACATTATTGAGAATATTCAGTTACATTCAAGCTAGTTTTTCTTTGAAATAAAACTTTCGTTGTTAAAGCAATTCTCATGAAAAATAGCTTTTTCTCAATCGTCTCATATTGATGAAGGTTCCAAAATTTCGCTACAAGTAGCATGTTCAGATATGATCACGATATTCTAGGTGTTTGTTCCTTGCGTAGAAGTTACCATTTTCTTAAAGCTGTTGCATTATCTAATCACCCATCATTCTTGAAATTGCCTCTAACACACATCTCGCACAAAATATGTACGCCTATGTCGAAGGCCACTAACTTCGTTCGGTAACAGTAAAATTTCTGAAAGTGCATCGATTGATGATGCTTTGATTCAAATATGCAGTGCAGTTTGACACCTCAAATATTAAGAATCTACAACGGAAAGTTTTTAAATTTGGTGTTCAAAGATGTGGCGTTATCGTAAGTGATGATGCATTTATCGAATGCGACAATCACATTCCCCTCCACTCGAATCCACTTTCCGGAAACTCGCACGATTCTCACCAAACATTCAAAGAAAGTTGATCCTATACCACTTCATACATTTCTCCACTCGCCATCTTCATCACCTCATTGCTTCATCTGTCAGTTAGACTCAATCTCAACGATCTCATCGCATTTATAAATCTGAATCTTCCTCATACTTCCTTCTCATATACTGTCCACACTCTGACCATTTTGATTTCCTATTACGACTTCTTTCCCGATGGACCAATGATAATCTAACGAGTCTAGTTCTTACTCCGAAGTTTGGGGGAAATTCCGGAATTTGAAGCATCGAAAAAGCCGACAGATTCGGCTGAAGTGTTGTTTATTGTGAGCATGTTCAGTTGCGATTGTTTGATGAATCAATTGAGAACAGTATCAAGAAAGAATTGCGAATGAACGCCGCCACATTTTATTCAACAATAGTTCCAATAAAAGCAAAATGAATAATCGGTGAACGAATGTGGATGTGCATTTGATGTGTCTATTTTGAAATATAATAATATAAACGATGAATAATAAGTAAATTAATTAACAATTCAACGATCACTTCGGTTGAATGAATGACCAAGAAGCGATACAAATTAACAACGATATAAACACGGATGTTTCGATAACGACAATATATATATACTTGTGTTTGCATGCTTAAGCGAATATTGATGTAGGAGAGAAGAGAGGGATGGATGGAGCGAACAAAGGAACGCAATCAAACTGAACACAGTAACAATAACAACAACAACGCAATTATTACTAATAAAAGCATTAATAACAAAACTTTTAATCACATACTCATCACTCTCTGATTGCCACATTTAAATAAAACATCTATTCAAGATAATAATGCAGACAACTCAAATATTCACTCGAGATGCTGATCCATCGAACTAATCGCAAAGCACATCTTCGACTCTCACTGAACTGAGAGCAAAACAATGATAAACGAATTGGTGTTTCTCGATTGCTTATTTGACGGGATCGGTATGAACGGACAAACCAAAGTTAAATAAGCCTTAAGAGTTGAAGAAATAATGACGATTCTATTAAGAACACAGAAAAAGAAACAATAATAATATCATCAACCATGAGGATGATGACACCGAACAGTGTTACGGTTGAAACGAACTATAATCCTAATGAATGAAAACAACAAAATGAAACGAATTAAGGGCGGACGTCCCAATAACACAGCAAAGATGCACATTAGAATATGCACAGCATGAACGACCACAACCGGGATAATACGCTAACGTTGCAAATTGGCTGAATGACAATCCTACGTAAAAAGTGATGAGAGGATGGAGGGTTGATGGAATAAAAACAGATAAGAAAGATTGAGAAATGAACGACAAGATTTCAAAGATGGGACCATACAGAGTTGAGGATCAATGAATGATGAGTACGGGATGGAAAGAGATTTATGGATAGAAATTGAGTTGAGAATGCGAAAACGAAATAAATAATATTCTATTGGCATAAGAAAAACGCGCAAGCAAACACACACTACCCATGTGCACTGCGATAGATACTTGGACTGAATGGAATTACTATGAAACATTCAATAGAATATGAACGATACTTTAGTTGGACACAATCAACACCAGTGAGAACGTTTATGTGATAAATAAACAACCCAATTCAATCGTTTTCATTTGCAGAATATTTTCGAGTTTTCTTTCAGAATTACTGTCGATTAATATGATGCTCCAAAAATTCAACGGGACATATCGTTTTAGCTAAAATACAACCCGGACGGCTCAACAAAGAAGAGATGAATCATCTCGACAATTGAACCATCGTTATGCAATCAATTACAACAACAATTCCAATACTAGCATAATTTAATAAACAGGGAATATCACCACCATCAATCAACTTCCATATCTTGGAAGTTATTATTACTGGCTGCCGGGGCAGCAGTTTGGCCAGATGCTTCCTTGTTGTCCTTCGTTGTTGGTTGCTCATCCTGAGCAGCAGCTGTACCCTTCTTGCTATTATCCTTCGCCTGCTCTTTTTTCGTTTCTTTCTTCGGCTTTGGTTTCGGTTTGTTCAATATCGGTTGCACAATGCTCTCGAATTTCTGAATTATCGTTTCACTTTTCTTATCATTTACTTTCACTAATCAATAAAACTCTAACAAAAGTTGCCTTCGAATAAAATTATTCGCAAACGAAACATTTGGATCTCAAGAGTGCACATTTGGTTACTGGATGCTTTTTAATGCTTGGCATTAAGCGCTATTCTGAACTTGGGTTCACAACACAAAATAGGATAAACCTCTTGTTCTTGGCGGATCTGATTAACGAAAATGAGTGGCGGATCAGTTTTGGGATGTCGCTCTTGACGTCCTCGCTGCTCATCCAGCCATTTCTTCTTCTCCTCAGCTGACGAGATCACCTTCAATTGTTCAAATGTAACTTTTTATACTTACATAAATGAGTACTGACTGTATTAATCTGAATTCAGCACGTGTATTTATCCATCCTTTCTCGTTCTATTCAGATATTCCTGAAACAAATGCAAATCCCAAAGACGTATGTTCGATGAAGCGATCAAACCTTCTCCATATCCTTCGATTCGATGTGAGCGTATTTTTCACTTCCTTTCGAATACTCATCATACGCTTTTCGTGCTCTCTAAAATCGTTCAGTTGATGTCAGCTTCTCGATGAAATAGTTACAACTATCACTTGAACAAAACTACATATTTCTATCATAAAATGAAATTATTGTATCTGTCACATTCATTTTAAAAAACGATTATGAAATATTCGAAGCAAACACCTGAAATTAAAAAAAAAAGATTAATTTGACTTGAACAGTGTACGAAATCATTAGCTCTGTATTCAGTCACTGCCAAATGCGCTGAATAATAACTCAATTCAAAATGAGGAAATGCACTCACAATGATGGCACGATCGAAGTTATCGAAAGCACCTTTACGATTCTCATACTCACGATGTCTCTCTTGAACTGGCTCACCGATCTTCTTCAGCTCGATTAATCTCGATTCATAAACACTCTTCTCAGCATCTTCACCATCACCATACAACCAATCTTCAGTTGCCGTCAATAGACTTCGGAAGTTGTCTGCATCCTGAAAATGAGTACTAATCGAGTACATTCCTTCTTGGATTAACATTCACAAAATTCACTTTCATACATCAGCTTACACAACAGTGTTGAACAACATTTTAGGAACCTTGTCAATTCATACTTTTTTCGAGACTGAATGCAAAAAAAAACCTTTGAAGTGATGAAGTCAGCGAAACTCTCCGCAAGTTTATCACGCATGTAATAAACATATTCCTCCACCGCATTTTTAGCATCGACTTTTTCGTTTTCCTTCTGATCATTTGCTTGCATTGATTGCTGAAATATTCTGCATGTTCGATCAGGAAGTAGCGAAAAATTCAAACCGTTCATGCCACTTTACTGCACAGCACATCGCAACGATTTATCAGAAAAACTGCGAATTTAAAGTTGACATTGCATAACGATTCACGCAATAAGAAACAAAATAGCTGTAAATTACACCCTGCTCAATGTTACAATAAATGCAACAAACAAACCTCAATTTGTACCAAAGTCATCACATTCGCAACTGATGGAGTGAACTCCTCAATCGGCAGATCGATGGCGATCGTTTTTGTTTTCGGTTTATTCTCGACCGGAACATCCGGAGCCTTTTTATCGGTCTTTCCTTCTTCTTTCTTTTCCTCACTCTTCACTTCTTTCTTCACGGACTCATCTACTTCCATCACTTCCACTGGTTTCTTAACCAACATGTAAACAATCACTTCTCTTCAAACATCATTCACACTGCACACTGAATGAATTGCTCATTAATAACTACAATTTATTTACTAATTGCTGTCCTCAAAGCACTTGAAGTGCAATAATTCAACATGGAAGTTGTTATATTTGTGGACATGTGAGCGAAACGATGCACCTCAAAACAGATTAACTCGAAAAACGTGACAAAAAATGGAATAAAACGAAAAACCTCTTCATCTTTGCATTCAACAGTTTCGTACATCGTTGCGGAACACACTGAAAACACACCATTCGGATTCACACGTACCTTCACTTTGACTTTACGCGCACCCTCTGGTCCTGGTTTCACATCCTTCACTTTCCATAGACCTCAAATTACATTGTATTATTTTTATATTGATACACCACAAATAAAATATTTATTCAATCAGCAAATCCAACTCATTACGAGTTTATGCCTCTCTGTTATTACCAATATCACTAATATCACATTCTTCCTTCCTTCACATTCTTCTTTCCTTGCAGCTAACGATAATCAAAGTAATTCTCATCGAATATACTTTGACTCTGGTCCAAATAAAGTACATCCTATGAGAAATACTTTCTTCAAATATCGAACAGCTACCGAAACTATTGTCGTTAAAAGCGATCCAGAGAATATCAATTCAGACTCGAAATATAACCAATGATTCTCAGTGAATTCTAGAAGTCGAAACTTTCGGATGAAATGAAATTTCGACACCAATAAATTAGTAATAAGTATATGCAAATAACTAACCAATCTGACGACTGGAATGAGGGATGAGATTCGGATATGCATAGCACGCGCTTAATTGGAACGGTTCTTGACGATAGAGAGTGAGCATTTTTGAAAACGGAAATTCGTCGTGTTCGAGGAACACATCATTCTCTCTGAAACGAACGTTTCATAATGAAATTGCATTTTTGGATGAAGTGAAACAGTTTGAGGACTAACCCTCCTTCAGTCTGACCAACTGATCCCCACGCCAATTTGATTCGATACGGCTGAGAATCTTTCACAGCAAATTCACGTACTCTGAATGACGGTGACAGTATTGCACACTGCATGGCTGCACCTGAAATGCTCAACTGAATGTAGCAACAGCAATTCGTATGAATAAATTATCGGCGAAGGCTATAACGTACCTCGCGCTACCGCCTCATCTTGATTCATCGTTGTTTTAGGATCCTTACCAAACACTTCAGCGATAATCTTCTTGACAGCTGGAATCCTCGATGAACCACCCACTATTTCAACACTATCGATCTGATCCGTTTTCATTTTGGTATCACTCAAGAGATTCAACAGCATCGTACGAATTCGCTCGAACACAGGCTCAGCTAGCGCTTCGAAATCAGCACTAAAAATAAATTTTAATTTTAAATTTAATGAATCTATACCACATTCTCAATACAAAACCAACGCGTGCCATATTCAACAACTGAATCACAACACAGTTTCATTTATGAAACGGAATCAATATTTAAAAAAACTGGCGTTTCATTTTAAAATTCTAACAATCAGAGAAGATTAAGGTAGAAAACGCAATAACCGTTGCATTTTTGCAGTGACGTCTTTATCGTTCATGAGACATTCGATATTGATCGGAATCGCTGTACTATTCGCCGACATTTGTTTCTTCAATTTCTCACATTCATCCAAAAGACGGAACCAAGCACGTTTATTGGTGGCAGCATCAATCTGAACATTTCAATACATTATATAATATCACAAGTTATTTAACTTCCAATCAACATCAAACGAACCTTGTAAGTTTCCTTGAAAACTTTTCTAAAATGCTCACGTAGCAATGCATCGAACTGCAAACCACCAACATCGAGATCAAATGCTGCGCCAAGAACCTACAATACAGAATACTTATTAACTTCATGATGATCATATGACTGTGAACAATGCACTATTGTTCTAATAGAACACACCAGATGAGTAACGTGAGCTATTTCTCACTAGATTCGAGAACATTCTCAAATCAATTTTCATTCACCTTTACAGCGAGAACTTTTTAATTCATCAATTGAAATTGACAAACAAGTCAATCAAACAAGCGAATTGAAAGAAATCTTAAAAAATATAAAATAACTTACGGTAAGTTTACCCTTATTATAAGCGACAATGACAGCCTGTGATGCCGAATGTCCAATATCGACGAATACAACATGACGCGGTGGTTCATTTTCAGCTGGTAGATCTTGTTTGTAGATGCCTTAAATTGATGCATATTACGTTGTAGCATAATCAAAACATCAGCGTAAACATACCATAAGCGAGCGCAACCGCACTCGTTTCGTTCACAATTCGCAGACAATTTAATCCAGATATTTCCACCGCTGCCAACAAGCATCGACGTTGTGTATCCGTAAAATAATACGGTACCTGAACAGTTAAGAGATAAGTGCACAACTGGCTACAAACTTTCAAACGAAACAACACTTTCGGCTGGAAGGCAGAATAGTATCACTTGAACACTTCACCAATCGCACTATCCAATTAATTAGAAATGAATGAAAGTCACAGCGTTCAGCGAACCTCGACAGACGAGTTGTAAGATGATCAAACAAGAAAACATCAACTCTATCGTGTTTGAATGTTCCGCAAACAAAAGTGGAAGCACTAACCGAAAGAACGCAATCGGTAACACGTTTCGTTTCATGCTTCGCCTGTAGATCTGCCTCAGTGATGTTTCGCAACTTCACCAACAGCATCGCAACAATTTGCTCGGGAGTAAATGTATTCCTCTCACCCAAATAATCCACCTATTAAACAACACTATCACATTGACGACTGTCGGTCATTGAACAGTTTAGAATACAAATGAATACATGAATGATGTAAAATCAATAACAAACTCAATTAGAATACGTACCTTCAGACCAATGCCATCATCAGGTAATTGAACAACTTCGCAAGGAATGTAAGGAATATACTTTTGTGTGACTTCATCGCTGAATTTACGACCGATCAGTTGTTTGAAATTGATAATCGTATTTGCGACATTCGTATTAAGTTGTTGACGTGCCGATACACCCATTGTTCTGTTCTTCACACCGAATGATACGCATGACCTGAAATTTATACACTTTCATTCACCACTGAATTTGAGCAGATTCCCGATGACTTGACAATTTTACGGCTCACCACCTTAATCTGGCGGAAACAAAACGAATATTGTTCATTTTTATCGTGCAAAGAAGCACAGTAGAAGGCATCGGACTAGAAAACTATTTTCAATCACTGAACGATAGTTGATCACATCAAACCACTTTACTTTACCTTCCGCACGGCTCTTCAAGAATCGTTTTGAATAGGTGACACACTCAATATTTGAAGCAATCAGCTCATATTTGGTAATTTTACAATACGTTAATGGGACTTCATCAGAGAACAAAATACTATCACACTGCAACTTATATGCGTCTAAACTCATACAATCACGAACAAACATATCAAGCCCCCACAAATTTCATGCTCGTTAAAAATTTGTGTTTTCACTGACAAAAATACGAAACGTTTCATTCATTTCACAAGATGCAATGAAAACGTCTCTAACTTCAACGATAAAAATGCAACACATGAGGCTGAAAACCGCATCCGATGAAAAGACTAAATTAATGTCAACTATGAATATGAATTTTTCGCAGAACTGATACTAATAACATAAACACGATCCTCTCATCACAAGAAAATAGAAAAAATCCCTCGAAATTTCAGAAGTTTTAGAATAGGAGGTTAACGCTCGCACTGAACTTTTCCACTGACTATCCATTGTGCGACTGAAGAAAAAAACCCATTGTGTGATGAGAAGATTCAAAAAAAAAATTGTAAATTAATGTTTTCTCTAAGACAGCCGATGATGTAATTTTATGAAGGTTATAAAACTCAAAATGAATGACTCATCACCCAATCACAGATCCGGTTCCACATCAAAACGTTTATTAAACGTCTTCATATAAGAGTAAAGAATGAAATATTTTTGTTTAATCAAATGGAAATATCATTCACGACGGTACCAATGATGATTCGAACATTTCTAACAGATTGATGGATTTCAAACAACGACGACGCATTCGTAGGATTGCCATCTCTCGACATCTTTAGGTTTATCAACATAAACTCACGCACAACAAAATTCTCGCCACTTATTCTCAATAATAAAATATGAACGTCTTCATGAAAATTAATGCAGTTCTTCAAGTACTCATTTGAGTCTACTGAAAAAGTCGGATGAGGAAATCAATCAAGACTGAAATGATGACCAGTTAAAATGTTCGGAATGAGAGTAAAACGCGGAAAAATAAAAAGAGAAGAAAAGGAAACTAACGGAGTGGCATGTAGAGAGTAGTCGTTGACAATAACCTCAATACCACCTTGACGAGCCACTGCAATGTAGCAGTTGAGATTGCCCAAATCAAAGCCAACCACAGACATCGCGACTCAAACTGCGAAGTGATTGATCACTAAAACTTGATCTCTATATTTGCAGTCAAGTTGATACTCATACTTAAATATCGAAGACTCGTTCAGGTATAGATACATTGTCAATTATGTAATCACTGCACCATTTGAACGCGTAAATCACGAAGAACATCAAACAATTCAAACATTCTTCAAATCCTCCTAACAGAATTAGATTACTGCCAGGGACGTATCGAAGGATAGCTTGGAGACGACAATTAACACTGTTTTATCAGATGCATATGCGTAAAACAAGCTCAGATCAAATGGTAGAAGGGCTAAAGAAAAGGATGAGGCTGTGTTGCAACTGTCACGATGTAAGATTAACGATGCGTCCGTCCGAAATAAATACGGTGCGTCAACATGGAATGTTCCAGAAGGCAGACATGACGTGATTCATAACAGAATAAAAAAGAACGAAGAAAAATAACTTTTTTAAATTGGTGAACGGAACACAGAGCACTTCTGCAGTTTAAGGGCGGTGCGGTGCATCCAACATATTTCGCATCCAATCTTCAATGCACACCACATTCACTTCTGCACCACACACGCAACATTGCTACGCGATAGCGTGCGTGTTTGTGCACCACTGGTGCCACTAAACTGCAGAAGTACTCGCCCCACCTAGATTCATAAGACTGACGCTTTGCAAATTGGATCAGTTGACTCATATTAGTTGAGTCGGATAAGTTAACGGAACTCTCTCTTAATTGAAAACAATCAGATAAAAGCCAAATCATAGCCTGGCTCAGGCCCGCAACATCAATGATATTGGTACGCCATTCGGTTTCGATCAAAACTCTTCCTCCCGTTCACGGAGGAAAGTTTTGCTTAAAACCGACTGGTGTATCAATACCATGAAACTTTCTCTGTTATAAAATCGAAAGTTAATATGAATAAACAACTTCTAACAGGTCCAAATTATAAATTTTATTCCTTTGTATCAAATGATTCGTTCAACTAAAGACAGGAAACAGGTACAACGATTTCACGGAAACGAATCTGATGCGACTGCCTTTGGAGTTGCACATGGATGACACTGATACGTGGAGACTAAAATATGTTTCATTCGAGTGATTTGATCCAGTACAATCTCATTTGGACCCCTCACATACATCTGCTAGATTTGCGAAATGTCCAAGTGAAGGGGCACCGAAAGTTATTTGAAGAGAACAGCGAAGAATACTAGTTGAATAAGCCTGAGTTAATACAGAAACGTTCTTCCGTGAGAAACGTTTAATACAAATCACTAGTTCCATAACTACTACTAGTTGAAAGTCACATTAACTCTAATCATCATAGTCTTGCAATCAAAAGGAAAGACGACGCTAACCAAAAATAAACTTATAACACACTAACAAACAAATTACTCACATGCAAGTGCTCAACTCTTTGCTTTTATGTCATCACAATCGTTCGTGAAAATTCGCGAACAATCTTCGTCTACAATCGCCACTAAAAATTTTCTTTTTGTGAACCAACCGATATCATGTCACAAGCATGCGATTTTTCACAAACTCGGTGAACAATCTGTTTGAAGCACATTCAAAAAGTATGCGCCGTTTGGTACGCATGAAATTGCTAACTTGTTCACTTACAAGCGCCATTTTCTCATGTTAAGGCGAAAATTAAAGAATTTCACAAAGAACTAGGAATGGTTCCTGCTCAGAGAACCACTTCATACGTTGTCCTATGCAGTTTCAATGTAAAGGCTGGGAGAGAACGGCAAGAAGAGAAATACGTTAAGAAATTTGGAATAAAAGTAAGAAACAAAAGGGGTAAACGTTTAGTAATCTTTGCTGAAAAAAAAGTAATCATTCACTGGAAACAGCGTATTCAGGAAAAGAATAGATGAGAGATGGACCTGGATGGCTCTAAAGCTGAAGATAAGAATGAGGTAAATGCATCGAGACGATTACTCCAAGACGTCTCAGAGATAACACCTTTCAACATATGCAGTGACCATCGTTTACTACGAGCCACGAAAATAAAACTGGCTAAACTTAAGAATTGCATATGCAAAGCTTCGATTTAAATGATATAAATGTAACGAACAGTATGATGAGGAGAAGGGATAATTTAAAAAGAGATAGCACCCATCTCATTGAATATTCGATCTTGTCTAGAAGATAGCAATTGAACGATGATTTAATTGTGGCTAATAGAAACTGTCTTTTGTTCAGGCCTAGACGAGCTAAACGATATAAACAAAATAAGAGGAAGAAAACGGTTGTCATGCCTCCATAAACGAAATGCGCTTAAATACTGAAGTGAGAAAACACCATCACAGTAACGTTCCATCACAGTATGACAAATTCACGAAATATTAGTTTGCCGACCCCGTCAACTCCCCTCTTAACTCCCTTACTTCTCCTCCAGAGGAACCTCCCACATGGGGAACACCGCTGAACTAATAGTAAGTATATGTCACCGATAGAAAACTTCAGAATTGCATCGGCACCGCCCAATCTCGTCCTTTTTAACATTTGGCGAAATGAGTAAAAACAATTTCAAAAGTCATCCAAAATTTTTTTTGATCACGTAAATTTAAGATTTAACTTTGCAAGAAAGCGAAATTTTACTGTTTTCATCGAACGGCAGTGGTGATTTCAAATTTGAAAATTATTGTTGACCTATTGAGCGAAACTATCATATTTGTCTATTGCTGTAGTATAAAATTTCCGGAGTTATATTTTTCATTTTTGTGTGCTTTTTAAGTGTTTTAAGAGAGGTTGTGTCATATTTAAGTGCACGTCTGAACATTGTTCCACATCTCTTCCGTCTATGAATGTTCACTGAGCAAAAGCCAGAGGTAGTTGTTGAAGTTGAATCACTTCAACTGAAGCACGTTTTCTTCATTGACTAAATATGACAGGTATTATAGGGAATATTGATAGTCTGTCATTTATCAAGAGACCTAATTATCCATCATTCATTGTCGGAACTGTGGGCTTATTTCTACGTATGATTTACAAGTTTACAATGCGTATTTTCAGAATCTGTTGGCGTCTCTGTCATCAAGATGGTTGAAAAAATGGAAGTTGATGAAGCAACTAAGGGAGAAGGTGACCAGAAGAATACCGAGGGAGAGAAATCGAATGAAAAGAAAGACAAGGAACCGGAAAAACCTGTTGATTTGGACGCAATCACCCTAGAAAGTTTGTAGTAAAATTTTTTTGACGAAGATAAACGTCACAATATCCGCTCCGTTTCCCACTTTATCACCAATCAAAAAGACAATTGGCCATTCTTTCATATTAATTTCATCGACCGATTATATTAATATTGCCAGAAAAAATATTAAGCCGTTCACCGTTCCAAATGACCAAAGCATTAAATCAATCGAAAGTGACAGTGAGCAATTAAGATCTGAAAGAGTGGTGTAATCAGCTCGAAAAAGGTGAAACACACGTGTTATCGCGTATGTTACAACTATTACCAAAGACTCGCAAGCAGATCAATGCTGATGTATTGCATAAATTAGTCAGTAATCAATTGGCGGCATTACCGTTGAATCGCGAACAACTCCTCACTTGGTTACCACCGTTACCTCCATCTCTGACGACTGTTCCAGTAAGAATTTATTCAAGCACTGTCTTATCAACTATGATTACTAGTTCCTCATTTCTGGAGCAATAGAGTATGAGTGTTGGGTAATTGGAATGGGAAACGGACGAATCTTGCGATTTTAGACATCAGTCAAGAAAATGTGTGGTAACAATCTTGATTACGATAAAGTTGAGAAATAGGTGTGGCTATAAATGAATGATTTCAGATGGAAATCGATGTTGGTAGTAAAGGTGGAGGTCGTTCCCCTCGACCCTCAAGACGTGCTGGAATCGGAGCAATGTCTCCAACTGCTGAAGTCGAACTCTATGTTCACCTTCTGGTTTTAGTCTATTTGGTTGATCAGAAGCAGTGGATGAACGCTGAGAAGGTTTCTTTCGTTTACTTTCATAATTTAATGCAATTCACTTTGATTATACGATATGTACTGACACCTTCAGCATGTATCATATTTGTATTTTGATGGATTACAGTGCGCTGAATCGTTAATAACACGTCTGGATTATTACGACAAACGATCAGTGGACGCTATCGCTGCGAAAGCTTTCTTTTATATGACACTCATCTACGAAAGAACTCACAAACTCGAAATGCTTAGAGCGTTAGTTTGTTTGTTTCGTTTGTTTACTGTCATCGAATCATATCGTAGCAGATCTCTTTTCAGAATTTGTTCTCTTCATTCAATTACTTTCTGCTTTAGTGGCAGAATTTTCGCTCGAATAGGTTTCTCGAAATTTTGGAGGGTTTATTTGGAATGGGTGGTCGATTAAGTCGACTCGTCCGTATAAATATGTTTTTTTTNNNTTTTTTTTCCTGTCGGATGGAAGGTGTTTGTTCCGACGTGAATAGAAAATGAATTGGAATAAGTGATAATAAATAATTTATTTAGATATTTGAATGGTCGTTTGAGAACAGCTACATTAAAACGTCAAAGTGATACACAAGCTGTTCTTATTGTTTGTTTATTGCGTGTTTATCTTCTCGGAAAACACTATCAAGCGGCCGCTAAACTTGTTTCAAAAGTTCAGTTTGTTCTGTTCATTGCGTGTGATAATTTAATGGATTTGTAATCATCACCCTCATACCTCATATCTCATCAATAATCCTGTAAATGAGAACAACGGACAAGAATGCGCATAAGGAATGCATCTCACTCTTAAGCACGACGTCTCCACTACTGATCTGTGATAAATTGTAATTTGGTGTGGTTCAGGTGACGTTCCCAGAAGGTGCGTCAAACAACGATCTGGCCAGATTCTTATATTATCAAGGTCGAATTAAAGCAATGCAGTTGGATTATACTGCGGCAGCAGGTTACTTTCTGCAGGCAATTCGCAAGGCACCTCAGGATTCAGCCATTGGGTTCAAACAGAATGTTCGTTTCATTTCATTGCTTTATGCCACTTCAAAGTGCTCGGCTATTTATGGTTTGTTTGAATTGCGATTGAGAACTGATGATGCATATCATTTGATAAGTGACAACGCATCAGTCATTCATTATTGCACCATCAGATGATATTCATCGGTGCTAAATCTTATTTAGAGTTTGTGATTCTTGTTTGCTTTAGGTGCAAAAGTGGGTGGTTGTTATCAATCTCCTTCAAGGTGAAATTCCTGAACGATCTATATTCAGAGTGCCAATACATAGAAGAACCCTCGCTCCATATCTCGAGCTTACCCAAGGTTATTTGTTCATTTCATTGCTGTATTCTGTTAAGTGATCGATTATTTCACCATGCTATGAGTATTAATCGGTGACCTTTCAGCAGTTCGATTGGGTGATCTGATGAAATTCAACAGCGTTCTGGAGAAGCATGCAGAACGAGTGTTTGGACCTGACGAAACATTACCACTAATTGTGCGATTACGTCAAAACGTCATCAAGACAGCACTCCGACAAATAAGCACTGCATATTCGTGCATATCAATCAGTGATATACGCAAGAAGTTATTACTGCAAAGTGATCATGAGGCCGAGTATCTGGTTGCTAAGGTGTGTTCGTTATGATGACAGTGTGTTCGTCATTATTCGATGGTTTGAGATTCAATTTATGTTGATGCATAAGTTGAATTTATTGACAAGTGTGATTGGTAATGAGATAATAACTCTGATTGTAGGCCATAAAAGATGGTAGTATTGAAGCGGTGATAACGTTCGATACGGATGTGTCTGATCGTTATATGCAGTCGAAACAAACCGAAGATATCTATCGTACAACTGAGCCACAGACTCACTTCGATACTCGTATACGGTATGTTTTTTGTATACATTAGAACCATTTGTTTATTTAGTCTTTCGTGCATGAACGTTTGGTTTCATTCTGTTTGTCTTCTAGGATCTGAGGTCATGAGTCTGTTGGTTTTAGTTTATGGAATTTGCTGTCGATTGACAAATAATAGTTGGCATTTGAAAGTGGAACTGATTAAAAGCTCACTGTATTGATCAACCAGAGATAAATTTAGTGAAGGTGATAAGTAGAGTTTAATCAGTGAAAGTGTTTGAAGATACTGTCTCGAATTGCATAATCAAGCCGTTAAAGCGTTGCGTTATCCAGCCAACAGCCATAAGGGCGTGGTGGAATCAATTGAAGAGCAAAGGGAACGCGAGCAACAGGTTGGTCTTGAAAAGTTTTTATGGAATTGGTTTACATTCTTTGCTGTTGCAGCATATCATTTTCAGAATATTTTACGATTTCAGAATATTTATGATTATGATCTCAGTACAAATTTTTAGATGCTTAAGGAATTGTTTTTGAGTTATTTGGAATAAATCCCGAACTTAAAATTGAATATTCGTCGTATAACATTATGTCATCCCAATTTAACTTAATTGTCAAACCGTTTGATTTCGCAATGAGTTTAAGGAATTGGAGTTTGCGAAGGAGATGGCAGAGGAAGACGATGATGATTTTTGAGTGATGGTATTCGAGTACTGATAATTTAATTTAAGCTGTTTTCAATATTGTTTTCTTCAATAATAAAGTGTCTGATTTTGTTGTTATTCGTTGTTGTGAGAATATGTTCACGTCGTTCAATAATACGACCATGATTACTATTGTCAATAGAGTTAGTTATCGCCAGGTTTTTATGGGTGACCACCGACAAGGCGATTTTGAGAGTCAGTCGATTTCGGCTGATGGCAACCGATCAGACTCTAACTGGTATTTTTGTCTGGTTGTATTGGAGGGATANAAAATTGTTATTGTTTCCTAGGAACTCTTGTGAAGCATCGTAAGCTGTGGAAGGGCGAATAAAAGGTTAAAAGCTGGGCGTGAGGACTGATTTGAGAAGCATCCATCACATGTCCAGTTAGGATCGTCGGTTAAATAGCAATAAGAAGTGATGTTTGCAACTAATGCATTTCTGATTGATGGATGAAACCATTAAGAGATTATATCATTATCGGTGACGAAATAAATTTGTTGAATAAGCATTATTATTGAGTTGGTGTGATATTCTGATATGGCCATGTCAGGCTTGCGGGACGTGGAAAGGCAGAAGCAGATCTGAATGGGTAGGGCGGAGGGAGTTAAAAGCGGAGTTCTGAATCATGAACAGATGAGAATAAAGAAAATCGTTCAGATTTCTAGTGCGCTGCTACTGAAGTCCTCAAAAAGATGCATTATCGCTGAATCTTTTCAATTCGATGAATTATGAAAGTGAATATGAATGAAGAAGTGTTCGATTTAGGTATGCGACTGATATCAAATTGGCTGTGTAGATTAAGTGAAGCGATCGATCGAGTGCGACTTGATCTCATCAACCATCAATTGCATCCCGCATTAGCAGTGCCATTATCAAATTTACCGGCGAATCACAATTATGGAATTGAAGATTTACTGAATGATTTCCGTATTGTTTTTGGCGTTCCAAAGATCCGCACTTCAAAACGTTTGTTCTGATCTTTCTTCGTTGTACTTTTGAATCGATTCAAGAAATAACATTCAATACTAAGACTGCTGATCGCAGCTGTCATTTGCGGATATTACTTTTCATAATGATTGATTGAATTAAGAAAATATTTTGTGATTCTTGATCAGCATAGAACTTTCGCTTTGTTCGAATAATTCTTCACCAATTGTTATCATGACGATTTGTATCCAGTCAATTTTAGCGAAGAAAGTTAGCCGGAAATTCTCGTACAACAAACTTTTCTCATTGAGAAACAATTTGGTGGCGTGTCAGAATTGCGGCGAATATCATGAAATGCACACCATATGTGGTAATTTGTTGTCTCTTGTTTTTGGCTTTATTCATCAAACGATTCGTCATTCAGTTGTATTCATCTAAGCAGATTTAGAATTCTGTTACATCAAATTTTCAATGATTCAAGACACATTTTTCTTTTGTTCATAAGGAATATTTTCAGGTAAATGTTACGAAAAAGTTCGTGAATTGACGAATCAGATAAAATCGAAAATGATGAATTATAATCCGTACAAAGGTGAGCGACAAGACAAAGAAGTGTATTTACGCTTCAAAAATGATGATAATAATTTGCAAAAAGAAGTCATCGACGGTAAACGAATAATCGAGATCGAGTCTCCTCGACCGACTTGGTTCAAAAAGAAGTTCAATACTTGATTGCTCATCATCATTCATATTATTTTAGTGTCGTCATATCTTACTAAAATCGATCTTTACATTATATTGATATTGATGATTGTTTCGTTGTAATAATCTCGCTGAGCAATCAGATATAAAACTTTTTGTTTGCAAACTGAACAAGCATATCTATCCCATTTTGAGTTCTGTTCGAGAATGGAATCAATTTTGATGCTCAAGGTTCTGAATGCAGGCAGTCTTACAGTATTCAGGCCTTTTATAGATATTCGCTTTTTGAATTGGTCTTGGACTTAACGAAATTGTTACAGCCGTAAGTTTGTGAAATGAAGTGGTATAATGTGTGATTGTCATATATGTAAATACTTCCACAGTAGGCTCTCGTCATGGATTTATAAGTTATTGCATGTGAAATGCATTGTTTTGTTTGCGTGTTTCTTTTCATCGAAATTTTTTGTTTTTTCATTGAAAAGAATTGGTAGATTATATATGATTATGCACTGAGTTGAAAAATAAAATTTTGATTGAGTAATGATTTGGTATTTGTTTTTGCATGCGAACTCGGAGTATTGATTGACATTGAAAGTGTTTCGTTATCGTCTCGGTTGTATCACAGAAGGTCATCGTTAATCAAATCAGTTTTCTAAATCTATTTTGCTTGTAAAATCTCAATAAAATGGCATAGATACTTTCATTTAAGACCAAATGAAAGCATCGCATGTTCACTGATGTTAGTGGCAGCAAAAACGTCTTACATGGAAACAAGCGTTGTCTTGACACGAAGTGCAGTCAAAACAATAAATGAAAGAGACTAATCTATTCAATAAATTCTTACTGATCGCTCCAATTGAACACGTCAGTTGTTTTTGTTCTCATTCAATTTAAAATTGAACAAATTCTTTCGGCCTTCTATTCGGTCAAATAAACGCAAAACATCGCTAAGAACGTCTCTCTTCCCGTTCCCGAATAATCAACTATTCAAGTGATTCATTGTTCTTGCATTCATACTTCCGTCTTTATTCATTCATAAAGTTTAATCATTGCCAATTTCGTATTGAATTCCTCGTCTATGATTCTAATTCCTTTCATTATTATTACATTTCCTTACGGTTCTTCTGCACACGTCCACGTTTTTCAGCAATATTTGGGTGCCATCTCTGCGATACAGTAAAAGATTAGTTTTTGTTTCACGGAAATGAAAGATGGTTCGTTAAGCTTACAGAATGGATAACAGACATTATTTTGCAGTTGCGTTGATTCTTTTGATTGTATTAATGATAAAACAATAACACTAATGATGAATAAGTTGCGATCAAAAGACAAACATTGTGTTTGCTATCTCTATAAAAGGATCGGAGGTTTCTGGTAACGCCATAGTGTGCTGTTTATAACTGTTGGGATCGTTTTTGAACAATATGAATCGAATCACACAGTTTGTTGCGGTAAGTTACTTGTCGATGCTTCTTTTGAGATTTGTCCTTCGTTACAGATCAGTGCTTCTCGCTTCATGCGCTAACTTTGACCATACGGTAGACTGCAGTTTCGCTCCCTTTTGAAAACCCTACTTAAGGACATACTGAGAAGTTGTTCCACTGCTTGCAAAAGTTGGCTGTTAATAATTCGTTGGTTGTATTCCCTGTGATGAAAGAAACATTTTGAAAAAAAAAGATGTTTGGAAAACTATGTAGGACTTACGAAAAAACCAATACTCACTGATTCACCAGCCACATCAGTCATCCTTCTGGCAGCCTCAAATTCACCTTGCCAGAATCATTGCTATGAACGTTTTCGCTGATATGCAAATAGTTGATCTCTCATAGCCAGACTGGTTATTCATTTCAATTATTTCAAAAATGCATCCTGCAACCAATTTATTCTTTCCTTTTCTATTCACAAGCGATGAGCTAACTTCCTGATTCGTTGAAGGAACTTCGCCGAGTCGGATATGAATCGACTCCATTAAATTGATTAGGATTCAATTTTCTATTGATCATTCCACATTAATATCCATTTCGAGCAACAAACTAACAACATTTGTATAATTTGGATTAATATACAAAGATGAGTAATGATAACAACAAAATAAAACTGATAAATGGGGACATTGCAATCACCATAAAACTCTGCCATTAAAGGTGTCAGTCGTTTTGATTCAACTTGTCTCTGCGCTCTACCCACCACAATGTCCGTGCTACAATCGTCCTTGTCCGTGCCATAATGAACCGAGACGTAAGAATCATCTTTACATCCATCAATAGGGCTTAATCACTGAACGATTTCATTTCAGTTCACTTGAAATCGATTGACTTATCAATGATGTTGTAATCATTGTAAACGATTCATCATGTGATGGTTGATAACTGAATTGTACGATGAATAATTTTAGAATCTGCTCTTATTGAGGCGACCCTTGAGAATGGTACAGATGCTACAGTGGCAGTGAGTGAAATTGAAGCACAGGTGAGTTGAGCCAACTTCGAATGTTTTAGTGCATTCTTTCTTCCAATTACTTTAAGCAGCATATTCTGGTGATAAAGCGAATCATCCAAACGATAGTAATAATATGCAAAACATTGTAAAGTTTCTCAACCTTTCCCGACCAATCACCAGTGTGCATTACCACCTCAACCAATCGCACATTTCATCTTCCACATTCAATAAAATGCAATAATCGTTTTGGTAACGACACATAAAGATCTAATGTTCATTATTTTGCCTACAAAACAAACGTAGTCAAACCATCGCGTTCGGAACAGCCACAATTAAAACCAGGTCGACGAGACGGTTGGGAAGAGCATGAACTTCCCAGGTTTTTGTAAGTGACGTTCTTGAGAATGTTGATCATCTACGGATACAGTTAACTATTTAATGCTCAGATCATCACGAGGGGTCAAGCTGGGGCTCATAACGGGGTTCACGTTAGGGCATGTTTCGCGAGCAAACTCAGGGTTGCCAAGGTGATCGCCCCGAAGCATAGATTGTTGCTTGTCCTCGGCTCAAGATGAAGCTTACAAAGAAGCGTAGGGTGAGGGTTCCTCCGGGATTCCAGTTGCCGGGACTTAGGCTATCGTATACTCAGGTGCTGAGGCTCGACATGCTCACGGCGAAACATATCGCGAATTGTTCTAAATTCCACTCACATATTCCTCTCGATATGGATTAAAGATTTGATGTTCAGAAGAAATTCCGCCATTTCTTCCTTCTGTTATCAAAAATTCAAACTCTGAGCAGATTATCAGCTGCATAAATTTCGATTTCAATTTAAGATCCGCTATCGTCTCCAGCTTTATGCACTCTTGTTCCAGAAACAAAACATCTTAGTGTCAGTCACCGGAGCACCGTTAGTTGCTTTCCAGTTGAAGACTTAAATCCACATTTTCATCGAATGCAACCATGCCCAGACGAATATTCATATTAGCATTCAGATTTATTGAATTGCACCAGACAGGGATTGATGTATTCAGTTGCAATTGTGTTGCCAACATTTTAATATTTTGATGCTTTTCTAGGTTCCTCTCTCATTTGAAACAGTCGCTCATTCACTTTTCATTATAGTCACCCATGCAAAACCATGATAATTCAGAATGCGATAATTCAATTATCTTTTCAATGCATGCGCAGTATTATGCGTTTTTGTAAATTGCTTCGTGATTTTACGTTATCCCAGAGAATTAGAGATCAGAGAATTTCACACTATGAATGGTTACAAAGAGCACTTCGAGTGCACGACACAATGTAAAAACAGTCTCATTTGATGCAGTCAGCAATGTTTGATTGTGATCATTCAGATCTGACAATCAGACAATCTCAGTAACTGTGAAATGTACGAGATGGTGTAAACAACTGAAACAAATTGCAATTGATACGCTCAACTCTAGCCCTGTTGGTTTTTTTTTTTTTGATTATACATTTTAGAATTGATCAAACACCTCAAGATTAAGCTTTAGCTGAACGGACGAAATTGCTTTTGATGACTACAATCATTGTGCAGTGCTTATGTGTATCATTTACCTAAAGTAAATTCACCCCTCTTTCCCCTCCCTAATTGCACTGTAACAAAAAAAACACGTAAAAATGATAATGGGAGAATTGTGTGCGTAGATTCTAAAACAAAGTGCTTTGTATGCATAGTTACCTTCATTAATAACCGTCAAATCTCGGAAGATGGAAAAAACGCATGAATTTCAATGTACTAAAATGTATACTTTTCATTGTCGTGCTAGCCGAACAATATGCCATTTATGTTCGATAAGACACACAGAATTCGAATCTGGCCATTCAGCTTTTGCCCACTACTGTCCGTTGTGTTACAATTCCAAAAAAAGGAATGTTTTCAAATTCATATCGATATCTTTAATTTGTGCATTTGTGCATTGTTGGATACTCGCGCGTTCCATTGAATGTTTTGGGGCAATCCATTAAAATCCTATAACAAAGTTGTTGTGACGAAAGCCGGTGAATGATACAGAAAATGTGTTGTCGTACCTAAGTAGCTTGTATGTGAATGAAAAGTTACTCTTTAATGCACACGTTTCGAGCAGTTTCCGAATGCTGATAATTATTTGCAAAACAACTGCTCATACCGATCGAAACAGAAATTGCAGTTTGTATTTCTCGCACAAAACCCTCCAGAAAATGAAATAATTGTTTTTGCATTTCTTCGTCACACAACGTTGTTTTTGCTGTCGGATGCTAAATGTCGGTAAATTGATGTCGGTTGCTAAATGCTTGAAAACATGGAGTGTTGATTCGATTGCGACTGACGGACGATTCATGCAAATTTCAGCTGGTCGTGCCATATGCAACAGTCAAAACAGATTGTAAAAATTGTTTGTACCAACGGAAGAAACGATCACAAAATGATGACGACGTAATTGATGTTGAGGTTATCGGCGAATTAAAAGATTCGATCAACGAACACTCTGAAAAGGAGCGTAAGGCGGAATAAAGGATGGGAAGAGCTGTGATGCCAAACATCACAAGCGTGATATTGAAGATGAATCAATTGTCTTTGATAATAAATTGATATTTTAGATTTCTATGGAACGAACTTGTCTGTCACTCAACCAGTTTCAGCTTCAAGCACTACTCAGTTATAGAAAATAACTTTTTCAATAATAAACAAAGACCTAATTAATTCTAAGTATTTTTGAGCTTTGATTGAATATTTCACTTTGCTTAGTAGATTATTCATTCCGAGGAATGTGCAACCTGGAGAAGGATCGGGGGAAATTCGAGAGTGAGAACTGAATCGAGGGGAGGAATGGGCAACTGTTTGATGAGGGGAAGAAAATTTGAAGGTGGATGTAGAATTGAGGTTCAAATTTTTTCTCCTTTATGTACGCACGTTTTAGTTGTTTTTGGACGTATTCTTTTCAGCATCTTATCATGTGATAATTTTTGTGAGGCTGCATTGAGAGGGGACGTGGAGGGTGGGATTAAATTGAGAGAGGAGCGCGGAGTGATGATGAGATGAGGGTTTTTAGAGCGAGCATACATTAGGGCTGGGATATATATTCGGTGTCATGCAGTGGATCCGATGTTCGGCAGCTATCGTTCGATGAGAATAATGTGTACTGTTTAGAATGAGGTGAAAGTTTTCGAGGTGCAGAACCTTCGATTACAAGCACACACAAGTTGAGATATTATGAGCTGAGGAACAGATGTATCGTACAGGTAAGAGTAATGCTTCATCAATCGATGAGAAATGCTTTGAAATCCGTTGTTTTTGTAAAGAATATTTGCGTGGATTGATCTATGAAGTCAGTCAATAAAATGAGTTCATTGCCACATCAAACTGCAGTCACATACTTAACACGTCATTGAAATCTGTTATTATCTCCATAAACTGCAAACGTATGATTCTGGATGGTACAGTCCTTCTTTAGTTAGTTTATCTACTTCTGCCTGGCTTGTTGTGAAGAGATGTTCACCTGAAATGATATCGAATGTATAAGACAACCTGATTGAATCGGTCCAAATCCAGGTAATTTGCTACTATGTTAGTAATGAACTCGATCAACCATTAGACGGTTCAAGTTAACTCATCTAATAGCATCAGTCNCTGGCTTGTTGTGAAGAGATGTTCACCTGAAATGATATCGAATGTATTTATAATAAGACAACCTGATTGAATCGGTCCAAATTCAGGTAATTTGCTACTATGTTAGTAATGAACTCGATCAACCATTAGACGGTTCAAGTTAACTCATCTAATAGCATCAGTCAAAACTTCGAGACAGTTGATTTGAAAACAATAGCATTCTGATGGCATTTTATCGAAGAGGTGAACATTCATCATTTAAAACTCTCAAATATTTTCTTTATCCATTCAATCCAACGCATCACATTTATGCTTAAATTGTCAGTGATTGAATCAATGTGAGGAGATTTTAAACAATTTCCCACTGAATAATTTTCCGATTTCGGAGCTAAAAATGATGACAAACTTTCAAGATCCGATTTATATACTTTTTACCTCCTACAAAGGTTGAGGTGAATTCTGAAGGTCATCATTGATGTGAATCAATCAAAAACATATCCAAGGAAAAGTATAAGGCACAATTGAATGGGTAAGTCAAAGGACAAAATGAATTACGGTAAAAATAACCGAAAGTATCCGAATACATCCGAGTAATGGGTTGATTCGCACCACAAACTGTCTCATTTTTGGATGGTGCGAGAACACAGTAACCTAGCACACCCATCTCTACATAATCTAATTTTTTTAGTTTATCGGACTCCGCAGCATCCACCAAAATTGTATCATCTGAAATTCGGTTCGAAATGATTAAGCTCACTTTTATCATTGGTAACCTGCTTATGATTCTGTTCATGAGCAGTCAATTTACTGTTTCTTAATTGCTGACAAATGTTCGAAAAAAATAGGAATCATCTGAAACAGGAATTGAGCCGATCATGGCATTTAGTTGATGTTTAATGCTCTCATTATAAAAAATATAAGTAGCACATTTATGGAACGAATAATCATGTCTTTATCACCTTGCTGATCAATCCTTTCATTCAAAGTTGTGGATGTTTGAAAATGAAACGTATCGTGTTAAAAACAATGATTGTTACATACCGCTTTCAGCCTGGAAGACGTAAATGAGTTTGACCAGCTGCGGACAAGACTCCCATATGGCTGGTGTTGTTACATCTGCTTCAGGAATCAATCGCCCGAGCGAGGCTGCAAAACAGTAAATCAATATCATTCCGATTCATCTGTAGAAAATATGGATATTTATCGGAGATTATCCACATTCAGTATGAACTGAGCCACTCGCGTGTTTTGTTCAGGCAAACTTCCCAACGTACCAGCGATATGTCTTTATGCCGAACTATGAACAAAATTAGTGAAATGCGATTGTCGAAGAACAAGGTGCTGATCATGGTGAAGTATTTTGGGCACCCGTAGTTTGAGAAGTATCATGTTCAAGTCACTCGCTTATGACCACTGTGATTCGGATCTTATTATAACAGAGAATAATCTTAGTCAGTGAAAACGAATATGTATGACAATCAAAACGTGCACTGACAATCCATCGTTCAGTAGGTATTTTTTCCTAACTGAACGAGGATGATTTTGAATGGCCGAGTTCGCTCTGATCTACTCATGCTCAAATGCAGATATATGAACGATGAATCTGTGGAGTTTGATGAATTAGAAATTTGAAGAATGTTCAACACTTCAGGCATAGAACTTCACTTGAATGGGATTGGTATTGCTCTTGAATGAAATGACGGCTAACATTCTCTGACGTATCCTCGCTGCTGAAGTTCTTTGAATCTGGATTCTGAGACTGCATATTTATGACGAGACAATTCGGCATTGAAGAAACGGAACAACGGGATGAGAAGAGGAGGGTACCACGGTTCAGTTGCTTTCACAGCTATAAAGTTAATAATGTGATTGTAAATGAATTTCAATATGAAGAGATGACAATGCTCTTATTTGTTCGGTACTTAGGCAATTCAGCACGCTAGAATCGCATTTTAGTAGAATAGAATCCTGATTCTTCAATTATCACGCAATCAACAGGTGATTTGTCTTTCTGACAGTTTTATCATCGCTCATCAAAATTCCAAGACGCATCTGCAGAATCATCATCAAAATGACGAATTCACTGCTGTTCGGAACATGATAAAATTTTGAAATAAATCACATTCACAAAAAGACTATAAGTACCTGGTTCCGCGAAAATTGCACCGTTATTGTAACTCGTCGGACTGCCAGCCCCATTATGAGAACCAACAGGTTGCATCGGATTACCGTGATTATAACTCGCCGGACTGCCAGCCCCATTATGAGAACCAACAGGTTGCATCGGATTACCGTGATTATAACTCGCCGGATTGCCAGCCACATTATCGTTTTGGGGAGAAGCAAAGAAATTCACACGTCCGTATTTTTTTTTGTGATCTGAATTGGAGTTCGGATTTGTGTTCGGTGAACATTGCTGAGCACGTAGTGCGTTCACCATCTTCTGACAGCTCTCAGCCATAGCCTTCTGCACAGCCGCATTACAAGTCTCCCTTTCCTCCTCCTTTTGTTCAGTCAACTTCTTCACTTGTCTTCGGAGTCCTCTCATTTCTCCACTCAACTGTGCAATGTTTTCGACTATAGCTTCATATCGGGAGCAGAGTCCTCAAATTTTTATTGTTGCTTTTCTTGGCATTACTAATGATATTTTTATTAGTGGAGGTATCATTGTTGTCTTCATTAGTATGGTCAATATTATGTATAACGAGCAAGCATTGATAAAAACAAGCAATATGCTCTGATACTTGCAGGCAATGTATTCGATTGTATTTTCATTTCGATTCACTACCAATGCTAATAATTTTATTGACAGGTAAAACTGTGCGAGTAAAAGAACATAATGCAAGGTCAACGAATATAAGTTATTTTGAACGGTAGTTTAGCGAAGCACGTCTGTAGTTGATTTTATTTGATATGGAAGCCACTTCAATTGAAAATAAACAAAACGCTTTCGGAAAATAGAATTTGACAAACCGTTTTGATTTAACGCTAACGTTACCGAATAATAGTGAATGAAGAAGAAAAGGATGCGAAGAAGATGCATTCTTGAATTATGTCGTGGCTATGAAAATGATCACCAATAAATATGAAATGAGAATTGAATTATGATTAAACGATTCAAATTTTAATATCATTAATAATATTGTAAAATATTAAGACGATATTACATTGTAATATTGTAAATATGATCTTTTTAACAGTGTAATTTTTTAATATGGATCATATATTGTTGATGCGCATTTATTATTTTANGATTAAACGATTCAAATTTTAATATCATTAATAATATTGTAAAATATTAATCGTAAGACGATATTATATTGTAATATTGTAAATATGATCTTTTTAACAGTGTAATTTTTTAATATGGATCATATATTGTTGATGCGCATTTATTATTTTATTTTTTATTTATGCGTCTTCGAAAATCGTTGAAAGCAATTTTGGATTCAATTTTTTTCGATATTCAAAATTTGTGTTTGTCACTTGCACCGCATTTCTGATGTTTCGCAGCACAGATCATGAATGATCAAACCCAATGAAGTTTAGCACTGCATTAGTATTCATGATATAACTGGTCGAATTCTTACTGCATTATGCTGAATGACTATAAAAAATCATCATGCCAATGACCCAACGAACAACTGCACGAGAAAGCGACTCATTCATCAGACAAAAAGGAGTACCAAGAAATTGATATACGCCCATCATGAATTTGACAGAAACGGATTGATTAATACATATCAGTGCGCATCACTCCTGTCATGCACACTAAATAGTAGGTTCAAATTATCAGTGATCGGAATAGCAGATTTACTCTCACTTTTCCGAATCTTTATTAAGCAGTTTTCCTAAACAACTTGGCTTTTTCCGCTAAACTGACAGATTTCCACGAGATTCGGTTTGGCTTTCGACAATGTGTAGGTGCTAGCACCTGAGCTTTTTGTTCGGTGACCTAAAAACAAGGTTTTTTGAATATCGTCTTTCATTTTATTCTGACCGCTTGTCGTATCGCATGGCGTTGGATATAGAACGCTCAAGGTGTTGAGTATCTGAGTGTTGGACATTCATTAAAATCACTTGATTTGAGATTATTGTTCGTCATCATTAGTTGGAGGATACAGAAGGCAGTTTTTTCGTTAACCGGTAACCCGTTTTCTAATTGTTTTCCGAATCTGATTGAATAATGGCAATACCCTTAAAGTAGGTTCTAACATTACACGGTAGTGGAGATTATCGTTATTTTTTGTCAGTATTTGGAAGGGTTGAATAGTTGAGTAGTCAATTTCGTTGATCACTCAATCCTCGTAGTCTTGGATGAAGCGTGATCAAGGTGTGCCCTTGCTCATGGATTGCGATAGTACTTCACAATGAAGTCCCTCATTCCGTTCACCTATTCTGTCCGTCATCATTATCATTATCTTTGCCTAGATCAAAAAAATTTGACTCGTAACAATCCATTAGACTCGCCTATGCAGATAAAAGAATTATTCTATTGCCAGCATATGCCATAGTCCGTAAGAAAAAACAAATGAGTGGGTTTATACTTGCATCATGATTAGTCTATCTGCAAGTACCTCTCTGTTTTCGGATCGATTATTGGATGAGTATTTGATGCGATAATGATTATACTAACCACAATAATAAAAGCACGTTAGCAACGACATCGGTTGTTGCTAGGTGATAGAAAGGTTATAAATAGATACTAATCGAGTGGTACGTTGGTTGCTTTTGATTGACAAAATATTATAGGATATACCACATATAAGTGTTTATAATATGCATTTGATTACCACAAGCTTTTTTAGCACTCCGAATCGAACTGTTTGTCGAACTTGAGTTTATCATCTGCACTGCTGAGTATCCCTTATTAGTCGGGCAACTCAAAGTTCTACTCGAGATTTTAACAAAGGTGCGTTTCTTTTCATAATTCGTTTGTGAATCCCTTATACTGCTCTGCAAACCAGAAGAAGGGCACGTGGAATACGGGTATCGATTTTTTCAAAGCCTTCTATCGCCACACTAATCTTTCAGTTAACGGTTCCTATTCGATTATTACCTATGAATCCCAGACTGTTGTTACCTGTAATCTCGAACTACTTGCAATAATAGAAGTTGTTCTAATGCTTCATGCGACTGATTTTGACTGCAATATCGGAACAAAACTGAACCAACTTTGAGAGTGTTCAAATTGCTAGTCTTTTTCTGATCTCGTCATGCACATCTTTCTATCCATGTGATCTTGCAAGAGTGATTCATATCTCCATGCGTTACTCCATAATGAGTCATTCGTCAAAGATTCAGTCGATTGCTACGCAACAATTTCCATGACATTCAGTCGAATATGTGCAAAAGAGTGCTTGTACTCATGAACAACGTGATTAGATTCGGGATGCCTTCTGAAAACGATTTTGTTTCATCGGAATTGTTCACTCGACATACCCAAAAAATAAAAAACTACTCCGAAATATGTGCTTGTTTACATCAATTCCAGTGTCTCTGTCTAACTCTGAATTAGAAATCGAAGTGAATTTCAATGATGAGAAACTGAATATCTGTTGCATCTCATTACAAAAGTGCGCTTCAATCGCTCGACGAGTCAATACAAATCAGATGGTATTGAATCATTGCGAAGAATTGTGTGAATTCGCAATGTTGAAAATGTAAATGAAAGGAATAATTGCCCAAAGGGTGGAAATGTTAACAGAAAGTTAAACAACTGAATCAATTATGAATCAATTACTTAATCGCTGGATTGCATCACCATCATGTTGCTTTGGAAAACGCTAAGTTTGTTTTGTAAGAAGGTGAGGGATGATTTGGTGACAATAAACAACCTCAAAGAATCATTTCTTTGCAAACACCCAACGACATAAATATCCGTCGCATTCTCCACTTCCATGCACGATTCTGGATTCTTCAATTCATTTGACAGCTGAAACGAAAGATGAAAGCAGTGCTGTTGCACGTAAATACCTCAAGCCATCAATCTGTCTATCACCATTTTTTTAGCATAAGATGACATTTTCGTTAAATAATCTACAAAGTCGTCCACCCCTTCACCACTCCTCTTATCAATTCATTCATTACATTCTCGATCTTAAACTCATCATTATCGTATCTCTCCGTCTGTCCGTTTTACACACCCACCACTAATTAAAACAAAACCATTTTATCTCCCTCATGATTTGCCACTCCATTTCACTCCATTCTATCCGATAAGCCTCCAATACGCTCTTCACTATTAACAACTTCACTAGAGTTGTTAATCACTATCTACTAGTATAAACAGCACCTATCATGTCAAATACTGCCGAACTATCACCTCCAGCTACTATTGGCTTGAAAGGCGAGCTAATTAAATCCTTGTTTAAATCCCAATAATCACTTCAATCATTGATAATCATTAACTTCCTCAATTTTGCATATCCGTTCAGGTGTCATGGATATAACACTGACAAGGGTAGATTACGCGCAAATCGGGACAGCAAGTAGGGGATGTATGCGTGTGATTGCGGCTGATAAAGAAGATAAAAAGAAGAAAACAAAAACCCTTGATAAGGTCTGTTGTGAATTCATTGTGTTTCAGCGATTCAGTGATCATTCCTAATACATACAATTGTGCTGCAGAATATTGGTTAACTTGCGAGATGATTGGGTACGCCTTGTTGAATGATCACATAGCATTGATAGATCAACAGATTGCTCAATCTGATCGATTTTCATTTGATGGTTGATTCAGTTCCTCGAAACTTTACTGATTGGGGACGATTAATACACAGGAAATGCGATAGCTCCAGTAAGAGAACATATAAGCACAAATATGGAATACGACAACATATGAGTATAAAATATGAAATATTCATCATTTTTACAGATAGTTTGTGGTAGTCATACAGGTGTGGTGTTGTGCTTCGTAAGAAAGAACTCAGAAACACAGGTGAGAACTCACTATCATCAACTAAATGTGCTGCTTGCTTCTGTCCAATCAAAATATCTTATTGTCTACCGATAGGTAGATGAAATGTTTTTTCATCAACAATACTATGTGATGTTCACTGCTGTGTGATGTATCATCAAAAGTTTGATAACATTCAGAATTACTATGGTAGCAGATAACACAGAGTCAAATACAAACGGTTACTGCCAAACTAAAATAATTCATTCAAAAATTACGAATGAATAGATATAATCACTTATCAACTTCTTGTTCAAAATACAATTCAAGTGCAAGGAATGAATGTTGAGATGTTGTTCAAAACGATGACTGGACCACGAATCGACTGTCTTCGACTCGGTGGTGCACTTGGTACAGTTCAGGATAAAATTTTTGTGTCGAGTGAGAATTGCGTCAAAGGGTATTCGAAAAAGGGAAAGCAATTTTTCTCATTCGAAACAAACATGGCTGAACCGATTTCATCAATGTGAGGCTCTCATCCGTCACTAGCACGATTATTGAATACCTCATTTCTTTATCGTCCATTCTTAACCTTCACCTCTTATTTTGCATTAATTTTGACTGAAATTCTTCGAAAGCGCAATTCATTCGATGCACTATGTTGATAACAAGCAACAGATTATTCCATAATTCAACCAGATTCGAATATCTTAGGTATATTTATGGTGTTGACATGTTTCTGTGTGGACGATTATCATTCAATCATTATCACGACTGTGCAGATGCTAATGTTGGTTCTTCTTATCAATCAACAAATTTGTGACAAGTTGAGTTTCGCAGCTTCACAGAAATAAGCTGACGATATTCCAGATGTGATGTTTCTTGATCTTCAAACGTAGAACTCTGAATCACATTAGGGAATTCAGTTTGGTGATTGCCTGCTTTCGTATCGAATCAAGTGAGTTCATGTGCATTTAATCAAACGTTTACAGTATTATTTGTGCAATGAACGAATCAACGATGTGCTTTGTTTGCCGGTCGTTGAAGGCTCTTGGGTTGGAAGAGGCATTACGGCTGTGCTCGCATGCGATGATAAAACTATCAAGGTACTGAATGCAATACGAATGCCTGTTACCTTTCTTCCTTGCAATGAAAAAAAATTTTTAAAAACTATGGCATGTTGTGCGATCGTTTTGTGAGGAAAATGGTTCGTTCGCCTTGATAAAGCCTTATTATTCAGATTGCATAACGTCATTGCCTAAGATCGCAAAATTCAGAAGTTGAATAGGATGAAAGCAACAAATTGGCTTTCTTCTCACATCATTAACACACCTGAACTGAACAATGATTTTGAAATTTTATGTACGCTTATGGATTGAGGAGGATATGTTGTATTGATAGTTATGAATAGTTTTGAAGCTGATGGCTCATTTAAAGTGTTTATTGCGGTTTTAGGTGTTGAATGGTAGCGAATTAAGTTATGAAGTTCAGCTTGGTGATATACCGAATGTACTGCATTTATTCATGAACGATGGAGGCAAGTTTGTTTTCAATACGTATTCCTTCTTTCTTCAATACTTCGCCATATTTCCATCATTACCATTCGAATGAACGGTACATAACCGTAGATGTCACTTTCAATGGATGTTTTGTACTCTTATTATCAGCCACGGTTGGATTATTTGTGACTGACCATCGAATCACTTCGGTTTTATTTCAGGATTTAGTAAGCAACGAGTACTGTATGGTACAAAAGATGGTCGTTTGGGACTGGTTGATCTGCCACCTAAGGATGGAACAGTTGCTTGGGAGGTGTCAACAAAAAGTACAAGTGGTTCGTGAATTTCGACTACTATCGAATCCGTTTCGAAACTGTCTTATTATGATGCGAAATTGTTGTTAACACTTTTTTCGTGAACAGTTTTTGTCACAATTTTTTGCAGCGAAAAAAATGAAATGAAAAATTACTTATCAGTGATTTAATCTTGGACAGAAAGTTTAGTGGCTTATCGCTAAAGATTGTCTCGACGACTATTGAAGGTCTATTACCTAAATTAATGAATGTTTAGTTTCTGAACTCATTTCGAACCTCCCTCTTGAAATCATCTGACATTTTATGAGCGCAGTAACCTGTAATCAGTACATCAATGATCAAGATTGCATTCTGATGAAGTTGCATGACTTCGTGTGCCGATGTTAACGAATATGTAGGAAGGAGGATGCAAGGAAAGAAGAATTTGATTATGGTGATATTACTGGGACTGATAGTGGTTTATCGTTAAACTCGTAACGGGTTATAATTGCTGATTAAATGAAAGAATGTCAGCCGATTGAATAACTTGCAGCAATAACAACTATGCATTGCTATGCGATCACTGGTAGTGGTTGTCCAGACATCATAATCGGTAAGGAGGACGGCCTCATCGAGATCTATGTCGTTGATTTCTCTGACCAACCTACATTCAAGAAAAGTTTCGTAAGTGATCTTTCATCTGTGCGTTTGGTCAGTTGCGTTGTGCAGCGTGATTTCAATCCAGCCAAATCTCCCAGGTGTATTTTGGTGAAAACATTTCTACATCACAAACAGGAATTTGTTTGAATGAAGTTTTGATTGGTGTTGGGTCGGTGACCACCGAAAAT